GAGGAATTCTCTTATCGCATTGATGTTGCCTGTACTACAAGCTGATTGTGAGTAGAATACTTGTGACTTGGCTGGAGTTTTCAATTGCGTTTCATTATTAACATACTGCGCAATGAAATCCGTTCATTCTTTTTTATTAAGCCTGTAGACTGACTGTCAGCAAAAAAAAAAAGTTACTCAAAACGGATTTGAAATTCTAGAAGAACAGGCTTTAGCTTAGAAAGCTGTTCAAGTCATCCGCGACATTTTGCAGACCGGAATTCACCTGGACGCTGTTAGAGAATAGGTCGAGTGAATTGAGAAACCTCGAAAGAAAAGTACAAGGCACGATTTAGCATTAAATTCATTGAACATATAATGATACTGGCAATATTAGCCGTTTCCCTATAAGGAAATATTTGGCATTCATTGACCGAGCAGCCAGTACTGCTTTCGTTTGAGATTTATAAAATCATTCTTTTAAAACAATTTCTTACGAAAACAAGGTTTTCAAGTCCCGTTGCTGTTATCGCTTTTTCCACTATTGAAGCTTTTTCCTTCCTAAGCTTTTATTTGAAGTACTGTCAAACGTCAACATCTTGATTATGTTATTATTTTCTCTTCCAATAATATGGACTATTCATTTCAGTTGTTGCAGCTGTTAGTAGTCCTCAGGTGGTGTGGTTTCTTTTATTTGGAACAGTTCTTCTTGATTCTGTAGTGCCTGTTCACAATGTTCAAGGAAGAATGACATTTACCAAGAAATTCAGCTTCCACTCGCTCAAAGCCTTTTTAACCATTATTCATAGGAAGCGGTTGTATAGATCTGAGAGTTTAGATATCTCGGAATAGGTTTGGAGTCATATATGGCATCCGTGACAGCCGATATTTAAAAAATGGGAACATCAACCGGGACGTTTTTTCTCAATTCACCTCAATCAAGGCTATAATGCCACTAAGACGCAAGGGGGCGACTGAGAGTGAAAGAGAAAGAAAGGACTTTAGAAAGAACCGAAAACCCATTTCTAAAAATGTAATAAGAAAAAAACTTCTACTCCTGTCCAAAAGATCGGAGAAGAGTGTGAACCGGACATATCTACTCCTATTATTATTATTATTATTATTTTATTATTATTATTATTATTATTATTATTATTATTATTATTATTATTATCGCCGGACACAACCTTAACAACATACGATGCACGATTGTCACTTTTTTAATGGCACACTGAGAAAGGAAACTGAACGAATTAATGTGTCGGGCCATAGTTTCGATTTTAAAAAATGCTGCTTTAATTGAATGAGGAAGCAGTTTACTAAGGTAAAAATATATAGAAAGTGCACTGATGTCTAAATCACCCGCGGTAAATTTCCGTTCTAGTTCTTACAAAATTTCATCTTTCTTGGCATATCTTCTTTTGTGACTATGTGAGATATTTATAAACAAAAACAGACAACAACGATAAAAAATATAATTCCTGGGAAACTTAGTGCGATCGGCTGAGCTGCTCGTCTAGATATGTCATAGGCTGAAAATTTTAAATTTAGAGCTCCCACATCTTCAGCGTTTCCCCTTGGTGCATATTTATAATCGACTTTTATATACACCCTCTCCGTATATATATATATATATATATATATATATATATATATATATATATATATATATATTATAATAGATACACCTGCCTAAGTTTCATTTAAACGGATCGTCAAGGAAAGCTTGGCTTTCCTGACGATCCGTTTCCCTTGGTGTATCTAGGTCTGCTCTACGATTGTATTGAGCTCTTTTGTTAGTTATTTGTTACTCGTATCGGGGTTTTTTCTTTGGTCTTCAGACCTGCATCTGTGCGATTTTTTGTCGACAGAAGTTCATGTTTGTAGCTCTTTCTTTTTTTAAAATCTTTTTTTCCCACGAAATTGATTTGATTAACAAATCAAAAATTCGAGGGTTTTTCGAAACGAGTCTAGTTATCTATATTTATATATATATATATTATAATATATTGTAATTTATAATATTAATGCTCTGTAAATTTACATTGAGCACTATTTTGTAAAAATAAAAATATCTATAAGAACAATGGATTTTATATATTACTGTTCTTTCTTTTTATTTATATACATATATATATATATATATATATATATAGAGAGAGAGAGAGAGATAGATAGATAGATAGATTATATATATATGTAATTCCATCAATAAGAACATTACTTTAGTCTGATAAAGTCCTTTTAGAGGACGAAACGCCTTGCACGGAATTTTTTCTACTTTATTATTCAATTACATAGTAGGATAATAAAGGAAAGCAAGAAGAAAGGACTAACTATTGAGACTAAGAAGACAAAATACATGGTTTTCAACAAAAGATTCTACCGAGAGTGTGAACTACATTCTAGAGACATTAGCGTCAAGCTGGTACAGATATTTAACTACACGGATAGTGTCGTAATAAACGATGGAAAATGTGAGAGAGAAATTCCAAGACCTACAAGAATAGCAAAAGATGAC